GGGGAGGAGAGTGGGGTTGGGAGGGGAAGAGGGAGAGACAGAGGTGGCTGGTTTAGCATGGAACAATCTGGATCAAGATTTTCTTCTCTGCCTCATCCCAACAGGGACACTCTGGTCTGTTATTAACATACTCTAAGTCCTTGAAATATGAGCAGCCACAACTGCATATCCTTAACATGAACAGCTAAAATTAAACTAAACTAAAATTATTCAATATTCATACCACAAAAATGCCAGTCTCACAAAAAAATTGTTTTCCACAGCTAGTGAGAAAACGAAAACAACAACAACAACATACCTTATGGCCTCTTCCACAGACTGGCCAACTATATTTGAGGATGGGCCTGGTTGCGACAAAGGTGTCAAGCTAATCACCCACTTTACTGGTTTGTAGTACTCATCACTGGAACTTAACAGATAAAACAGCGTGGTCAGGAAAATCACCTGTAAAACAAATCACAATTTGAAAGAAAAAAATGCATTAAACACTATGCAGATAATAGGATGCAAATATGTTTCAGATCATTTAACATAACTGGGAAACGCACAAAATGCTATTGGACACACAGACTTGGGGCTGGTCCACACTACCCGCTTAATTCGGCGGGTAGAGATCAATCTTCTGGGATCAATTTATCGCATCTCATCTGGACGCGATAGATCGATCCCAGAAGCGCTCCCCCGTCGACTGCGGAACTCCTGCTCGCCGAGAGGAGGAAGCGCTGTCGACGGGGGAGCCTGCCTGCGCCGCGTGGACCCGAAGTAGGTACTTTTAGTTCGATATAGGAAACGTCGACTTCAGCTACGCTATTCTCGTAGCTGAAGTTGCGTTTCCTATATCGATCCCCCGCCCCAGTGTGGACCAGCCCTTAGAGAAATGCACTTCAGGTCATACAGATGGCAGATCTGAAAGTAAATCTTGCCTTTGAAAAAGGGATTTGACGGTTACCTGAAAAAGAGTTCCAAGCAATCATTTTTAATTTTTTCCCCCCAGTACAGAGGCACCAGTCCTTTACTGCATTGAAGCTTGGAAGAGCTCCTAGAGAATCAGTCAGATTTTCCCTTTTAATCTTACTGGCATCTTTCGGTCACATATTACACCACTTATTTCTGTCCATTTAAGTGAGACATTTATTATCCTAGTTCTAATTTTGTCCTCTGTTTCCCCATTTTCCAGGATTCTGGAACCCAAATACTTGAAACTGTGTGTTTTCTGTAACAGTCTGCCCATCTAGTTTTAAGAATAAGTCTTCAGTGTTCACATCATTGAAGTTGCATACCATATAATCTGTTTTTCCTCTACTTATTTTGAGCTCATGTCTCTCCAACATCTCTCTCCAGTTATCAAAATCCTCTTCTAGACTACCTATCTTTCTCCTCACTGCACAGAATGATATCTGCAACAGCATGCATCAAGATGCCTCCTTCTATATATTCCTTGAGAGGGTATCCAGGACAAGGATAAACAAGGAAGAACTCCGTGTTGAACCCTGACACACTCCTACCTTTACCAAGAGTTTATCTGTTTCACCACCAGAAGTTCTGAATATTGACATAGCACCGACATATGTGGCTTGAACAATCCACACAAAGTTCTGGTACCATCTTCTCCCTCGAACACCACCTGATGACTTGTCTTGGAACTCTGTCAAAGGTCTTTTCCAGATCAATAGCAACCACCTTTTTCCTTGTACCTTGGCACCAAGGTCCTTTTCCTCCACATGTTTAGTATCTTTTCCCATCACATGATGGAGCTGAACAAGAGGGATATCTTCTATTCCAAGCTTTTTCCATGCCTGAATAGCGATTCCGTTTGGGCCTCAGCCTTATTTTCCATTTCTTTTAGAACATTTGCCACTTCATCTGGTCTGATAGAATGAAGAACTTTGCTGTAGTAGAGCATAAAATAGCATCTCTTGGATTTTATTCTTTTAAAAGCTGTTCAAAATGCCTTTTCCATCAATCCTTTATGTGACTATCATCAATCAACACCATACCAGCTTCATCTTTGATGAACCTCACTTCCTTTATATCTTTGGTACTTCTGTCTTGTCCTTTCACCAGTCTATACATTCCCCTTCCCCCCGCCTTTGTTCTAAGTCTTATGTAAAATTTGTCCAAAACCTTTGCTTTGGCTTTTGTAACTATATTCCTGGGCAATTTCTTTACATACTACTATTCCTCCACCTTGTTTGCTCCTACTACTTTGCCAGAGTTTAATTTTTTTTCTCTTATCTTTTATCACTTCATGTCTACTTTACTCCAACACCAAGTTGCTTTTTGAATAAAGGCTCTCTTTTGATTCACCCACAACTAGTTTAGCACTCTCCAATATATCTGTCATCATTGCCAGTACCAAGCCTGATAGAAAAAGGAGGCGGGCTTGCACCAGGTTGGCAGCCGGATGTAAAAATTTGCCATAAACTGACACTATGAGTCCTCAAATAAATCAAGACAATGGGAGAGTATTCTCTAGAAATGATGCACGGTGCGCCGGCTGAGTGTTGTAGGTGAGGGCTACAGTGTAACTACAGAAGCATGCAGTTAATGAAGCTAGCCCAGAAATCGAAGATCAGACTGGCATATTGGAATGCTGGTCCAGTAACTGGCTGTAGCACGGAGCTAGGAAACACTGAGGAGGAAGAAGGTAGAATCATAGAAGATTAGGGTTGGAAGAGACCTCAGGAGGTCATCTAGTCCAATCCCCTGCTCAAAGCTGGACCAACACCAACTAAATTATCCAGGCCAGGGCTTTGTCAAGCTTGGCTTTAAAAACCTCTAAGGAAGGAGATTCCACCACCTCCCTAGGTAACCCATTATAGTAGTTCACCACCCTCCTAGTGAAATAGTGTTTCCTAATATCCAACCTAGACCTCCCCCACTGCAACTTGAAACCGTTGCTTCTTGTTCTGTCATCTGCCACCACTGAGAACAGCCGAGCTCCATCCTCTTTGGAACCCCCATTCAGGTAGTTGAAGGCTGCTATCAAATCCCACCTCACTCTTCTCTTCTGCATACTAAATAACACCAGTTCCCTCAGCCTCTCCTCGTAAGTTGTCATGTGCACCATCATTTTCGTTGCCCTCCGCTGGACTCTCTCCAACTTGTCCACATCCCTTCTGTAGTGGGGGGACCAAAACTGGACATAAAATACTCCAGGTGTGGCCTCACCAATGCCGAATAGAGGGGAATAATCACTTCCCTCGAACTGCTGGCAATGCTCCTACTAATACAGCCCAGTACGTCGTTGGCCTTCTTGGCAACAAGGGCACACTGCTGACTCATATCCAGCTTCTTGTCCACTGTAATCCCCAGGGCCTTTTCTGGGGAACTGCTGCTTAGTCAGTCAGTCCCCAGTCTGTAGCGGTGCATGGGATTCTTCCTTCCTAAGTGCAGGACTCTGCACTTGTCCTTGTTGAACCTCATTAGATTTCTTTTGGCCCAATCCTCTAATTTGTCTAGGACACTCTGGACCCTATCCCTACCCTCCAGCGTATCTACCTCTCCCCCGAGCTTAGAGTCATCTGCGAACTTGCTGAGGATGCAATTAATCCCATCATCCAGATCACTGATAAACATGTTGAACAAAACCGGCCTCAGGACCGACCCCTGGGGAACTCCGCTTGATACCGGCTGCCAACTAGACATTGAGCCGTTGATCACTACCCGTTGAGCCCGACAATCTAGCCAGTTTTCTATCCACCTTATAGTCCATTCATCCAATCCATACTTTTTTAACTTGCTGGCAAGAATACTGTGGGAGACCGTATCAAAAGCTTTGCTAAAGTCAAGATATATCACATCCACCGCTTTCCCCATATCCACAGAGCCCGTTATCTCATCATAGAAGGCAATCAGGTAGAAGGTACAGATAGCATGTATCTGGGAAACAAAATGGAAAAGGCAAAAAAGAGATTAGGGAAGAATACAAAATAATTTACTGTGGGGACTCCAACTCAATTAACAGAGTAGCCATATCTCAATAGTAAAATAAAGGAAAGAGTGGTGACAATAAATAGAATCCGTGACAGGTTAACGATGGTCAAGCTGGCTTTTGAAGGTGGATTGCTAAATGCTTCCTAATCTGGCTGTGCTGAGGATGAGAAGACAACTCTCTGGAAGATGTTAGACAATGCTCTTCAGCAAATTCCAGAAAATGAGGAAATAATTATTGGCACCAATTTAAATGGACATGCTGGAAGAGACAGGCATAGATATAGCAGACAACACAGTGGCCAGGGCTACAGAACTTTACATGACAAAAGAGAAAGCATATTGCACCTGATATAAGCTCATGACTTAGTAGTATCCAACACATTCTTTACAAAAAGAGATAAACAACTTATTACCAACAAGAGTGGGAGCCAGCCTCACTATTTTTCACGTTTCCTAGAAAAAAACCACAGATAAAGGACTGCAAGATGATCGCAGGAAAAAGTCTTCCTAGTTAACCTAGAACACGCACCTTAGATATGCGTCTTAGAACAAAGAGAAAATGAAAGAGGGCAACACCAAAGATTAGGTGGCAAAAACTACAAGTTAAGGGTGAGGGCTTATGGAGTTGGTTATGGAGAAGATGAGGGCAGCACCACATGTGGAAGGAATGGATAAATTTGGGGATTTTACGATAACTATAAGGCATTTTTTCCAGATCTCAAATAATTTGTGTGGCTCTTTTTTACACCCTCTCCCGTTTTTCAACATCCTTTTTCAAATGTGGACACCAGAACTGGGTGCAGTATTCCAGCATTGATATCACCATACTGTATTCAGAGATAAAAAATCAACTCCCCACTTCTCTTTACTACTCCTTCATTTATACATCCAAGGATCGCATTAGCCTTGTTTTGCCAGAGCATCATACTGGGAGGGCACCTCTTTCTGTGCTGCTTTCACCACATAAGCCACACTGCTACTCACAAAAGGGGGAGTCAGAAAGCTGGACAAGAGCTCTCCTGGATGATTAGGACTGCCCTTGCTTATTTCTGAAAGCGAGCCATGGGGATATAATAAGGCAGCACAGAGCTGAACTGATGAGCTGCTGGCAGAACTCCTTCCCACCTGGAATGCAAAGTGTGCAGGACTGGATTACAGTCTGAAGCCCTAGGTGCACTGTCACACAGGACAATTTTAGCCCAGTCTGCATGGCACCACACTCACACCATGGCCTCTTCCCCTATTTGGAATGGCAGCAGGGGCTTCCCTTTCCTAAGGAGCAACAATGCAGCAGCATTTGAGGACCCTATCCTACCTTGGAGAAGCAGGAGTGACAGAAGGGAGTTAGTTGAACTAAATGATACACAGACATACAGCTCATTTATTTGAGCTGATCATTTAATTAATATTAAGTGCAAATGCATGTAATTAGAACATCACACTCCAACAACTCCATTTATATGAATGTGCAATTACATTTTGAAAAAAAAAAACGAACATGTATTGTG